CGTTAATCAATCCGGTCTGAGAGATGCGCCCCCGCACTCGACTTCCATTCAGAATCGTAGTGGCGTAATGAGTGCGTATGTGGCCTATACAATGACTTGCGGTGGCCAGCCGAAGTACAAGTCAGTGCTTTTATCCTCCCAGACGGGTCTGGTACCAATTCACTGACCCCGGAGGGATGGAAAGCTTGGTTGTCCTAGGTGGGCATCGATCCGCGATTCGAACCCCTGACCGTGCGGGTGATATAGTGCGCCACTTGCCACTACACCAGCTCCGCCCTTAAGCTTACTTATGAAAAAGAAATATTTACCATCATTCTGTTTTCGTGCAGGGGTAACTCCACAGTTATTACTACATCGCTAACCCGTTTATTCTGTTAAAATTGGAGTTAATGTAAAATTACTGAACTATTCTCACACTGCATCAGTTAAGATGACGTCTCTCAAAGTATGAACGGTCTCAATCTCACTGGCCAAAAGGCATCCTTCTCGATTACTGTAATTATGGATATTTAGGAAAAACGGAGGAGAAGAAAGCACTGAGTGGAAATGGCGAACTAACAGACCCATATGTAACCCGGCCCTAGAATCAAATTCGAAACCCATTCAGACCTTATCCAACCAAGGCTTTCCTGGGAGTTCGTTGAGAGCTGATGCAGCTCGGTAATTTGTACTTCCGCTAAAGAATGACTAGGACAAATACAAATCCGAATGAGCTGGCGACTATGGAGAAGGAACTGAGCGAACCTAAATTTACAGCTTCTTTCTGTTCTACAAAGAGAGGGCAATCAGAGCACCATCAAACCTTTTCTTTGGAATAATTCTGTTTCTCCTACTTACGGTTCCACATGTATTATAGTTAGGTCTTCTCTACCCCTTATCATTTGGCTCTTAGCAATACAACAAAGGCTGCAGAGAAGATAATGAAATTAACTGACGGTGTCCACAGTTTCTACTAATTATCCAAGTTTATTCTGCATTACAACGAGATAAGGACCACTTCGACGCTTTTGGGGAGTTGCGAATGATTAATTTTCGAAAAAAAACCTTTAAACGAATGGCTGTGTCTCGGACCATAGATCGTAGAATCTTGAGTTGAAGGGAGTTTGTAACAATCACGGAGAAGCTGCTGAGGTCACAGAGATCTTGAAAATCCACAAGAAAACGCCCGCTCATCGGCCTCCTACATACTGGAAGTCTTGAACCGTGAATCATTCGCACGCATTGGTTTCCCCGATTTTCTTGATCATACCTACAGCTCAGGCCACTTAGCAGGCATGCAGGGCTGCTTTTCAGGATAAAAATGGAAGACTTTTGGTTCTAATCAGCCGTTTTTCGGGACGCAGGTTCGATTTCCATTCAGGATCGTAGTGGCAATGTTTCTGGACAGATATCTGAAAAAGACCTCTTTCTGAGACCTAACTATTTGTTGTTCACTGAATTTCTTCAAAATGGCACCTCATGAATCTATTCCGAAGATTTAACCCAGAAAGTGTGACTCCAATTCATCTCTTTGTTAAACCCGTACAGCGAAGATCTTCTGTGTTCCCAGACACAATGTTCAGCGCGATCGGGTGACTTGAATCCACAGCATAGGTGATTCGCTGAGAACAATATAACTTTGGATTCTATGGTATTCCATTTCTCATCAGAACGAATCTCAGCGACTTCGCTGCCCCTTTTGAAAGTGGAAGAGGGCGATGGTCGCCTGTTGGCTGCGTTCATCCTCGTTGCCCTGCCGCTCCATACGATTTGTTCCAAAGCACTGGCATGGCTTTCTGTTTTTTTTTNNNTTTTTTTTTCTTGAAATGACTCAACTATTTCAATGCGTCTCCTCTCAAAGGGCAAGTTTGACGGCGTACACAAAAGAGTAAACAGAGTTGCAGCTGTGTCAACATGCCAACACCACACACTGCTGTCACAACGATCACTTCTCTCAGAAAACTCCCAAATGAAACTAACGTTATTTTTAAATAAGTACATCTTGTGACCGAAAAATTTAGCAAAGTGGCGTTGCTAAAAAGTCATTAGTTTCGAGCACTCGCCGAATTCCCTTCGGAGAGTCAGCCGCCTCATTAAACGGCCGCCAGAGTGCAACACAGCGAGATATGCTTCGAAATGAATACGAGAAAGTAAAAAGGAAGTATGAAGGGAAGCAGGTGAAATTGGGTATGTAGTTAAGTCTGTTACTAAAACCTAGTAGGCGATATTACATCTACAGTTACGGTATTAGCATTGGTATCAAAAAAAATCCCAGGCGGAGGTGTTGTAACGGCAAGAAGTGCACATACGCATGGTCCCGAGACCAAATCGTGATCCAGGCCAATCAAGCTTCCATTCGTTCTGGACAGATAATCTTCCCCTTCTTCAGTGTACTCATTCCAACGTTCCCAACTTATTCGATTCTGACGGAAGGAAAAGCTTTCTGTTACGTCCGTATCCGAGTTCGCCCAACACCGGTGACCCCTGGTTGCAAGGATTCCTTTTTTGGCGCTTCCTTCGAGGTCTTAATACGTCACCCGATGCCAGGCCCGGGGTATGGGGAGGGTGGCCGAGCACCTCAAATTCCAATTCCTTCATTGTGTCAACGATATCATTAGAATGAATGCATCGTTAGCCAAATGACCCCATACTTTTTGGCTTGACTTCTACGATGAAATAAAACATATCAAAAAATTATAATGACGTGATCACCTTCAGGAACATCAATATCTGCCTTTTCCATATGGTGCTGTTCTGATCCGCGTTCTGAATCGCGATGGAACTCTTTTGGTACGAATCTTCTTGCTGCATTCCTTCAGGTTAGACCTTCTAGATATCTTCTTCTTGTTCCGCCCTTATTTTGCTTCCATTCATGAGGTTATAATGAGGTTGTGAAGTATATGAAGGGACGTATTAATACATGCCTTTGAACTCAGCCTGTATCAAGCATGGAAGGAACTTTTAAGCAAATGTTTTGTTAGTAAAATATGTAGCCCCTCACGTTAGGGCCTAATTGTAAAAATACACCAATGTTTCGGTAGAGGTAAATTTAGAAGAAATAAAATAGCACCATGCTAAGAAGAAAGTCTTATTCGAAATCGGAAACACGCTCCCCATCAGGTTCAATATTGTTCAACAATTTTCAGGGCCAAGAGAATGCCCTTTTCTGACCATTACCAAAGATTTCCAGCCTGATAAGTACATATAGCAAAGGTTTTCCACCAAGCATCCGAACAGTAAAGAGGTACTTTGATCGAGTTGAGACCTAGTTGTTTAGCATTTGACTTTTCCTGGAAGTTTTTCTTTCGTGGGCCACCTCCTCATTCCTTCAGTGTTTATCACAGCATCAAGGTCTACCAATTCCAATCCTCATGGGATGAAATCATTAACATTTCATCCTTCACCTTATCACTGCCCTGTCGACGTCACAATAATTACCTGGGTATCTTTATGTTGCACAATTTCGCAGTCTCGGGTGTGAGGAAGACATAGAACATGGGTGAGACCCTGACTCTATTGTAAAAGGGATACCCAGGAGGGTAGACAAACTATTAGGAGACGTATATGCAATAATTGTAGCAAAAACTTCTTAATTCCCATTAGGAAGTGGGAAAGGGTTTTCTCGGCTTTGCTCATTGAAGAATAGTGAGATCTGAGTGGCGACGTCTCGAGAGTTTCGAATGGAAATCAGACTCTTTCAGCTATGATGATGTCTCTCCCGAATGTACCTCCCTACCTAAAAAAACCTAAAAAAAAGTTCTTTGTCAACTACTTAGCTGTTAAATTCACCTGGATTTTTGAGGAAATATTCTGCCCTTTTTCATCATTACTGATAACCAATCGACTGCGGTTTTGTTTCCTTTTTCTTACTGCTAATATAATATTGACAATCTGATTTCAGTTACTCACATGCCCTATTATTGTCGGATTCGTCTGGTCCGTGATCTGGGGAGTGCTGTTCATTCAAATAGCTCGTAAGTGGTTCATTCCATCAGTGGATAATCGGTACTCGTCCGTGGATTGTTGTCCGTGTACTCGATGGTAGTAGCCTGATTGGCATGTGCTGTAGCCTTTGTGTTTGTTTGTCTTTCTGTTGTGTAAATTGTCTGATTGTTGCTTTACTTATTCAATGTCTGTCTGTGATGTTACTGTCTTGTTGATCTTAGTACAACAACTGAATCATCCCCCTAAATTTCAAGAGGAACTAAAATTAAGCATGGGAACCCGATTCGGGAGGTGAGTTAAGATGAAATGAATGCTGCATTGAGCGTATAATCCCATAGACAATCTATTTCATTCCACGACATCACCTTATCTTTTGTAACTACACAGATACTCAATGGGTCAGATATACAACATATCAAAAAAGGACTCCGGTCAAGGAGGTTGAGTAGGTGGGGTAGCTCTTGGGCTGTGGTGGATTACTGTAAGGTTCGGGTTCTTCTGTACTATTTCCGTTGTTTTTGAAAGACCGTTTGATTGTAAAGTTTTGGAAGGGGATACTTGAGTGAACCTGCTCATACAGCCCTTTATGCGTTGTGCACGTTCGGAAATCGGAAATCGGAAATGCGGCAAAAGGTTGAGGGCTAGGTGCAACTTTGGCTCGCTATTCAGCGCTTCTGTGATAATAGTAATTCACCTTATAGAAATACGTTCAGGGCAATTGCAGCCTCGAGCCATGAAGCTCGCTCATAGTCCCGCTTGCAGTTGTCAGTACATATGGGACTTGATCTGATATAACAACCCCTATTCGTACATGTGGTAGCGGTACCGTCGATCCTAACCAACTCCCGATTTCCATGAAAAGAATATTTCTCGGCGATTCTAACTATGAAGCGGCATTCACTACAGTTTGGATTACTGAATGGAGGGATTCTTTAGTGGGTGTCAGAATAAGTGCCTTTATGATATTATAGAATCCGAGTCACTCCGCAGAAGGCTTCTCTTTGGGAGATCCCCATAGTGTTAAGGTACCCTAATTCGAGTTTTACGGTATGGTGTGATGGAGTGTGGAAGTGGTTTACATTCACACTCTACAGCGTCTTTCTGGAATAACCCCAGGGAGGCAAGTGTAGTTGGTACGTTCTCCTGTAGCGACTCGATTAACGTCCTGTTGCGCAGTCGTGCAAGAGCAACCACGACTCAAAGCGAAGCTGTAACGGCAGCCACTTTAGTCCAATTCCTTCCTTTTTATGCTACTCAAAAAATTTGTGATACGCCAGTGCAATGATTGTGGCAATGAGCCATGTTTGATCCTCCTCTAAAAATTGAGAGGGTAACTTGCGACTTTGACGCAGAATATAGCCTTGGCATGGCTTATTCCCAAAGGTACAAATCTATTGAACGACTACTCTCTTAGGGGAAAGTTTCACAAACGTGCGGGGATTTGGGGCCTACTACTGTAACTATTTGATTTTTCCTGTACGCAACTGCAGCGCTATTTCACAACAGGATCCATAAAAAATACGATAGTATGGATCCTGAAACTGTACTGGATTACTTGAGTGTGAATGGGCGAAGAAATGTTTCCAGGAACGGTAATTCGATTGAAGGTAAACGGCGGCAACTCGGTATCCCTTCCATGTTTCAATCCAACGACAATGAGCAGAACCATCTAATTATCTCGGGAAAGCATCAGGAAACATACCCGCAAGAACGGGGCAAAAAAGGTGAGGTAGAATCCCATGTGGGAGACACGAATGTGGCAAGAATGGTGGCAGATGAGTTGGCTCTGCTGACTACATAACTGACAGTAACTAATGTTAAGTACACTCATATCATTGCTGGCATCTCATGTTCTTATCTAACCTTACTTAAATAAGTAGTTGGGCGAACCTCTATCACAAACAATAATTTTGCCTACGACTAGATTTCTAATTGTTCGTGATAAGATAGTAAACTAAGAACTCACAGTAGTTTTGTTTTCTGCTTCCATAAAACATGAAATCGCATAAGGACTTGTGGCTCCCGAGGATACCATGTGAGACATTGTTGGGTCGAAAAACGACCTCGACAGGGCGTTATAAGGGCTCCAAACACCGGCCTGGCCGACATACACACCCAAAAGTGGCCGTGTTATGACTAACTTGTTAAGACTGCACCATTCACAGTGAAGTGGTAGGACACCGAGGAATTGTATTCCCTTGTGGGAAACACCCAGACGGTTACAGACACATAATTTCGTACAACGCACTTCCTTATAGGTTTCTTTCGGTCTTACATTTCTCAGAATCCGCCGATTTTCGCGCAATTTTTATCCTATCTACATCATAAATCCCATTATTTCAACCACGCTAGATACCTGAGAATAATTGCGAGTTGTGCCTTTAAGCAATAAAACAAACGTAGTAGCTGAAACTAGTGTGAAAGAGATTTCATGGGAAGGGAAGAGTAAAGTATTGTAACCAGCTCAGCATCGCTCATTACCGGTAGTTCTCCTACTCTACGGAGGGTAGGAAAAGCTGCCCTACTGTAGTGTACTTGTGGTTCAACCCTCTGACAAACTTAACCAGTGCATGTTTTTCCTCTTGATGTGCACTCACCTTGTGGTTTTTCTGTCGTTGTGATTGTCGTGGAAGTGTAATTTTTTAAAGCATTTCAATCCATTTGGAAGAATTTCAATTCAGAAGAAAAGCAAACGGAAAAACGGATAGCAGAACGTCGAGCTCGCGAGAAAGCACGAGAACTTGCCGAAAAAACGTCTTGACATCAGTAACTCTGTCGTTGCCCTCCTCACTATTGAACTCCTCCTTTTCTCATAAAGTTTTCTCCCCCGAGTGATGATCCCTCTCCCCAGGTAACAACTTCGCCAACTTCGCCTCCCAACAATTCATCTTGCCATCTACCCTTTATTTTATTTCCAGTGCAATTCCTTTGTTGATGTTTTAATTTTTGAATAACACTTAAATCATAAGAACCCCAACGGCTCAGGCTTTGGACAACGGCCAGGATCATCCTGCTTCAACTGTGGATTTTTATAAAAGATAATCATTCTCACTGATATATGTGGTGCACGACAACATAACTAACTTGCTTGTTTGTAAATAAATTTGTTAAAGATCTCACCAATCTCTATTTACAGGTTCGATTTTATTACCAAATATTATTGCGTAGAAAAACAAAAGGATGCAGAGATTCAAGTGAACTCTCGATTCAATAAAAAAATACTTATACACATGAGAGCCGATATACATCATAAGCGACAAGGAAGAGCCAACGAGCTTTGTAAATCTGGCAAAACAACGATATGAACAAAAAATGAAAAAATTATGGGTAGCACTTTAATCTCGGTATTGTGCAGCGTTCAAACTTGAACAAGGAACAAACAAAATGGATAGCAGAGTAAGTGACACACCTTAAATCAGAACACAGTTCTTGGGGAAAGTTAGCTGAGAGTTTCAAGGAGCAGTGAACCTTAGAACCCGCACTGACTCATCGTATTCGCCCATGACTGAGGTGACTTTTTGCGAACGATGAGAACACAGCAGTTCTTCTTCAATCGGAAGGACACATCGGATATTTCACCAGGGAACTTCTCCACCTAAAAACACTTTCTCCATTTTATTTCATCAAGCAGTAAAAGAAAGTCAGATAGTCTCTAACTAGTAAAGATCCTGGACTATTTTGAGTCTCTAACTGCTTGAACTTAAAACAGTGAGGCGCTACACACAGAAAATATTAGTTGGTGAAAACCAGTGTATTACCAGGATTCTCGTTGTAAAAGTAAGCAGAATAAGTACAAGAACAATGACATAACGAAGAAAAAATTCTGAATCTAGTCTTTTTCTGACCACAGCACTTCTGGACCAGAAGATAAGCGAAAGCAGCGTAATAAGTACAGTATAACAAATTGGAGTTAGTGGAGCTTGCTAAGTTGGATCAAGAGATAGACGAAAACAGGGCCATTTTTTCAGCAACTATTATTAGATTCATGACAAAGAGGGCGTTTTTTCACTACTTCTCCAAAAAACTAGTACAAATGAAGGCACGTAGCAATACAAAGCTTACAGATGTAGGAAAAGGGTTAACGCTCCTTTCATCGAAAGCCACTACTGGGAGACAGTCGATGTGTGATATCCATGATTGTAGGCCTGACCAACTTCCCATATCTATCTCATTTGCTGCTTTTGTACTTCTTAAATTCACGCCATTTCAACAGGTCTCACAACACAAGCACTTACCTCATGACTTATCTGTCCCCTACCTCCGCCCCCCCCCCCCCCCCCCCCCCCCCCCCCCTTGAACTCTTTCACCAACCTCTCCTCCTCTAATAGGCGTTTTTTTAACGCCGACAAAGTTTTTTCCTTTTTAAAAAGAGGGACCAGAATACCCATTATATTATAAGTTTTTTCATCGTCTTTACTCATTTCTTTGATGGACTGAGGTAGTGAAACGTTATTCCACCGCAACTGCACCCGCGTGGGTGTGGTGCGTTAGGAACGAAATGGTCGCATCGCGGTGAGAGGGGCGTCGCGCGCGAAGGAATGTAGCAGGATGCAGCAGTAGGTAAGAAATACAAGAACAAAAGTACTAATTGTAGAATTATGCATAAAATAATGATCGCACATCGATTGAGCTGTATGAAGAACGCTAGAGCTGTAATAACGGCGAATGAGTGGTCCGCGACAGCCGCGTGCGGCAAATCGGTTACCCAAAATCGTTCCTAATCCCGTCTCCCCACCTGCCTAGCTTATGGGGAGAATGAACTAGCTATTCGCCGGTTATGGAAAATTCTCCTCGTACCCTTGTCAGGTGCCGTTAAATAAAGGCTTGACTGAATAAGCAGCTTAGCGAATCTTTTGATATCGCGTGACACTTCGGCGCAACTTCTAAAGAGACATAGGTTAGAGGACAGCACTGAATTTACGCTCCATCGTGAAGAAACCCGAATTTCTATCGATTTCATTACACACGCCGCCTTCCCCATCATTTTTGTTCCAATCAAAGTCAAATGACTTACACAACTCGGTTCGATTGTTCAAAACACACCTGCCTGAACTTTCTGTTCTGCACCATTAACGGTTCGGGCTTGAACGAATCTCACGCGCTTATCACAGATAAGAGACAGAAAAGAAGAGATTGACACACGCACTCCAAAGTTTAACGCTGTCCGTTTACTAATCTGAGAACCGAAGTAGCTTTACCTATCCAACCGTGAGCACTACTCATGTCCGGGTCCTAAGGAAAAATTACTCCCGAGAAAAAAGCTCTCCGAGGTTTTCTTTTTTCATCGGCTCAGTCATGGTAAAAAGAAATTGACATTCCGCCTGGAAGAAAGGGAAGGTTTATAAAGAAATTATTCCACCGATATGCCCTTATCCCTTTGACGTGCGTGATGAAGAGGTATGGCATAGAGGCTGCATAAAAGGAAAGGGCAATCGGGGTCTCGGTAGGTAAGCGGTGATAGCATGGTGCCTCGATAGCACTAGTGCGGTTTCGAGCGCCAGCCGAGGCCGAAGTTTCGCCCATAACTCCCCAACCTTGTGAGACTTTCGGATTGCGTACTGCGGGGAAATAACAGTTACAAAACATTAAGTTACCGACGTGATTATTAACTAAAGAGTTCTCGGGGAAGAAAGAGGAAAGGAAAAAGGAAACAAATAGGCAAGAAAAATCTACAATGTTGTGACTCTTAGCAATTTCAAAGAGATTGTAAAATATAATGAGTGGCTTTAAATGGAAAAGTATAAAGTTACCTCATAATGCCGCCTATCTATAACCGTTTTCGTCGGCGGTTTCGTTCGTTTATTGACTTTGATAATCTCGATGTTGCAACTAAGACTCCTGCAAGGCAAAACATGAAATTATTCACTGAACTCCTCAGAATACGTATTACTGCACTTACGTTGTATCACTCTTTAGGAAAACTTGTGTGTTTGAGGCTTTCATAAAAGTCTTCTCTTTGATACCTGGTACAACCAGCTGAATTTGCAACTCTGTGAGAGAGTCATCGTATTTACCTAAAAAACAATTGTTATCGACGTGCACGTTAACCACTTTCAGCTCCACTCCGAGCTTATTTCTAATAAAGTTGAGTAAATGGCGCATCAGAAGTGGACGAGAGACACTGGATAAGGTCAAAAACGCTCTAGGAAATGCGATGCTGTATTACTCTTACAGAGGAACAAAATAAAAGAAAAGGATTAGTTTAATATGCTGTACAAGATTATGGCACAGGCGTTTCTTCGAGCAAATAGTTTCTGAATAGATGGGGAGAAGAAGTACTTGACGAAAACAGCTCATCGACTACCAACCATTTTATGTCCTCTGAGTTCGAATAGTGACGATTGTGACCATTCAGTGGAATTTTCGACGGTTAACTTAAGTTCGCGCGTCGGAAAGATCGCTAAGAACTGTGCCGTTGCAGAACGAACGAACATTTTTACATAAGTATTATATACAACGAGAGAGCCGCTCAGAAAAACAAGTTCGATCGGCGGAGCATATGCTAAGAAAAAGGAAAAGGGAAAACTAATCTCAAGGACAGTTTCAAGTGTAATGCAAAAGAACAATCTTATCAGTGCATCTTACGCTGATGGTTAGGGAAGAAAATTTAGAGGACGAAAGTATCAAAAGATTAACTATACTTTCTGCAAACACTATCGTGTCAAAAAAATAAGAATTCAAAAAATCAATAATAAAATCTTATACAGTGTAACATCGAAACCTACATCCTAAAGGCCCTGGAATGTCGGTTTGGTCTCCAGTCTCTGACGACGCGCATGCCATGACTGTTAAGTTGTCCCTATTAGATATAGTAGCAGGGTAATTTTAGACTCAGCGTCTACTAGTAATCCAGCATTGGCTCTTCAAGAAGTAACTGTAGTTTGTCGACGGGAAAAGTGAATCTGAAATAGATTTTTACTAAACGCACAACTCTGATTGAACAGTGTTTATACTCGACAATAGCATAAATCTTGACGTCATCGCTATCAGTTCAAAAAACCGGAGGGTGTAAAACATTAGAGACGTTACCACGGTAACAGCTTTTCAGCCTAATAACTTTCATGCTGCTTGAGAGTGAGAGAGGCAACAACTGACGAAAATGTTATCAGTGTTTTCCCATTTCTGAGAATGACGTTACGCTGTGCGATAACCGGTCAAAGGGTACCTGAGTACTCGATTTTGCATAGCTAAGCAGAACGGGAAGATTTCATAACAAAGCTCGAAGGAAAGGTAAGGGCGGGAGATGACTCAGCGCAATAACGAGGTACATCGGGAAGGATGGGGGCATACGTAAACAGTAGGAATAAAAGAACATTAGCAATTGAAGCAAGATGAATAAATGGAAATGATCATACAGTTAAAGAAGAAAGAGAAGAAGGATTCCCAGCCGCAGTTTTCCCTCACAGTGGTTGAGCGATAGCTACTCTTTTGAGAACTTTCGAGAAAATTGAGGATTACTTGTTTTAACATGTCTTTTCGTGTTAATTCCTGTTGCCTGTTAGCAATGACTCATAGGGTTGATGAGTTGTAGGCAAAACTTCAGCCTTGCATGGGACCCGAACCCATGCCTCTGTTTTTTGCGCTCTTTTACCCTACACTATTGAGACATTTTTTTCTGAACTTGCAGATTATTCCCATTTCAAATACCATCCGATACTAAACGTCCGCCCATAATTCAAGAAACTTGTTAGACTCGAAGTTTACCTTTTCGTTTTTCAAAACTGCAAGACTTCAAAATTCCCAAAAAACCAGGAACTCGGGAATGCAACAAATACTCATACAAAAACAGATGTAAATCCCAGCAAAAGTAAAAAAAACAAATATCCAAACTGAGCTTTGAACTCGTTTGGTCTTAATAAGCCATCACGCTCACTGATCCTTCATTTGCGGATTCAAATGGACAAAACCTAAGGAGGGAAGAGAACTTGTATGAGTCAATGTCTGATTCGTCCTTGCGTTTTACACACCACCGCAGTTCCATTTGGCCTAACGTAACCATGTTGCATAACATCGTAGCTAATTATACAACGAGACTGCTCGCTTTCCAAGATGCTCGGGAATTCTTAGAAATTTACTGATTATATCAAACGAGCTTAGAGCGTTCCACCTATCAAAAACACAGCGCATCATAAAAAAAAGGGTCAATGACAAGGAGAGTTTTGATCAACATAGAACTCTCATGAATGACCTGACATTTTTGTTTTTACTCTAGCCTCCTGGAAGTGAACTCAGTGAGCGGACGAATCAGTCTAGGAGCAGCGTTTGAGAATACGATGAATTTGACGAGCTTTTCTACTGCGCTTCCGCCTCTGACAAAAGCAAAGGAGTAGAGTACGGCCTAATTTGCACAGAAATAGAAGGCTTATGAACATAAATCGTATGGATTCTGCTGGCTACAAAAGTTATCAGCTAAATTTGCTGTTTTGTTTTACTGTACAGGATAGCGGTATTTCGACAGCCGCTCGAGCTGGAACAGGTTCCGAAACAGAGGCCATCGAGGACGAGGGGCGCCGTACAATTTTGCCCCTCGAGCCCGGCGAAATCGATTCCTTCGCAAACCGACCAGAGGACGAATGGCATTAAGGCGAAATTCAACTCGGCTTCCAAGAAAAGAGTAGATAAAACAATCTTCACGAGAACCGCAATGTGGGACCTTTTTTGGAAACTTTCCTAACCATTAGTTGAAAAAGGAAGCATTTTGCAGAACATAAAATAGACAACGAAGTCGCAAAAATAAACAAAAAATTTAACAGATCAACTAGAATTCAATGGATTGCGACGGGGAAATAAGGGAATTAAGCGTTGAAAACGACAGTGATGAAACCCTCTACAAACTTTCTGGGTCAGTAGATCCATGGTTCCAAATCGAAACCACCGCGGTTGCGCCCAGTAACCAGCGCTGATGAATGAACTGCAGCTAATTACCAGGAACTCGGAGCCGACTATGACAATCAGACAAAGGAGGGGTTCACAACGAGTTCATCATTCTGAAAAGTGAACCATCCCCCAATACGATATCACACTATTTATTGACGAATTTATCGCCAATTTGACGCTCGCAAACAATCGCAGGGGTGAGAAGAGCTGTCTAAATTTGCAATGTTTACTTTGCTTGCATTGCATTTTCGTTATCTTAGAACTTATCACGAAGCATGATCGCTCAGCAGTGAACACTAAATTTTTCGGAACTATTTGAAAAAAGAGGATTCACTCCATCTTTGCAAAATCGTGTTCAGAAAATTTCCTTTCTGGAAAATTAAATTCCGTGGCATGAATTCGAGGAATAAATTCTCATTTCAAACCTAACAATCTGTAATCATGTAAGAAATAGAAATCGATCGTTGCAAATAAAAACTATAACAGTAATAGAAACAACGTTGAGTACGTAGCTGTGCTTGCCATGAAACGCACGGAGAATGAGAAACAATTGATGCGTGGTATGGGATATAAGAGAGCTGTTTGCTGACGCACTTCAACCTCTACACAATGAATCATACCCACTTGAGCTCGATCGTAAGATGAAACAACCCCGAC